TTTAAGTTGGCGCAGATCGGCTTTGCCATGCCAATAATCATTCAATTTTCCCGTTTTGGTATTCAATTTAGAATTTTGGTCGAAGGGTTTCATAGATCTGTCATTTTAATTTAGAAACTGCTCAACTAGCATTCAAATTAATCGTCACTTGTCGAGGCGTCATTTTTATCATTCAAACTAACACCTGTCATTCGTATTCGAATTATGTTTATTCAAGTTAGGAATGTTAGGGGGAAGAAATACAACCCACGTTCACAGTTTTAAAAAATGCAATTAAATGCATGATTTGCCATTAGGTTTTTTTCTGTTATTCCATTTATTAATTTTTAGGGCAATGCATATGGGTGTAGTCAGACATTAGGTAAAGAAAGGGGCGAAATCGAGGGATATGGCATTTCTGCACGGACATGTTCATATACCCCGGAAAAGTGGGGACACAAAAATACCTACCCCAGTCACAATATTGTACCATTCCTCCATAGTGAAAATGTGATACATTTATGATGAAACACAAGACAAACAACTTCCATACATGAAAATTTACAAAAATATTGAGACCATTGAAGTCCGTATATGTAAGTCTTTTTTTTTCCTTCTTAACAATAACACTTAAAAGGATGATGAATACAAGTATATAAAGTGTATAAATGCAAGAAAATAAAATATGGTGAAATACACATGGAAAAAAACAATTTTGAAAGAAAAAGAAGGAACTATAACAAGTGTGTAATAAACGAGAAATGTATATTTACCATCAATTTAAGTGCACAAAGTGCTAATTTGAATGCTACAAATAAATTCGAATGCTAAAAGTACACTTTCGCGATGTTAGAAATCGTGTTGCGCCAAATCGAATGACCAAATAGCGAAAGAAGCACATTATTCATTAATTTGAATGAAACATACATAGATTTCAACGAAAACTTTATAGATCTGAAAACTAGAAAAAGGAATATAAACCAAAGATATATCTGACAGACAGCACTAAAACCGTCAAATTTGAACGCAAGACAATTTAATTTAAATGACAAACTCGCGAATTTGGCCGGAAAATCCTATGATAACACAGAGTTCATTGAATACGCGCCCCATTTGGGTTGCACCGTCAGTTGTCATTCTTTTCAATCGTAAACAAGAAATGATGAACACTGCGATTATATATTTTTTTTATTTATTTATTTATTTATTTGTTTATTTATTTATTTATTCATTTATTAGGTGGTCTGTCGTAGACAGATCACCTATTGATTTCGTCAGAATTTTCTTTCTTTATTATTTATTTATTTATTTATTCTTTATTTTTATTTATTGTTCCCACTTTTTTGTTCCGAGGATAACTCAAGATCGGTTTAGTCAATTTCGTTCAATTATGGCACAGTTATAAGTCATTGCCATAAGACCTGGCAGGAACATTTTCAAGGTCATCAAGTCTTCATGACGTCATCCAGGCGCCATTTTGTGTTTTTTGGGGTACTTTCAACTTTATATCGTATCTTCATAACGGAAAGGCATTTCTTATTCATATTTATCATGATTAAGGTCAATATCCATCCGGTCAATTTCAGGTCAAAAAACGCGCGCACATGCGCACGATCGCGCGTCAACGCGCGTGCAAAATTTCAAAATGCTCGAAATCGTCTCAAATTCATTTTTACATACGTTTTAGGCCATTTTAAGCATTTTTAAAAAAAACGCGCTCACGCGCATGCGCGCGCGTTTTCGCGCGTCATGATATTTTGCAACTTAGAATCGCCGAATTTTCTGTATCATCAAATTTGGCCCATTTTTCCAAGCATTTTGATATCTTGTTCACCTGTTTGTGAACATTAATAACGGAATGAGCATCCGTTTAAGATACATGTACTTGCGTGTGAACTCTTGTAATACATAGCATATATTGGCAAAAACATGCCTATACAAAATCCATTGTAGCTCTTAAAGATGCCAGTTGACCCCTAATTTTATTTTCATATTTGGATAGAGTATGAATTGTAGATATGATTTCATGTCTCATTTGACCCTCAATGAACTCTTGACGTCATCATAATGGCCTCTGAACTCAAAATTTCTATTTGCTTATTATGACGTCAGCATATTTTTAGAACATTGATTGTATCTCTGTAAATATTGATCGATTTTCCTCCAAATTTGGATATGTTCTAGCTGAGACAATTTCCTACGAGCGTACTTCACATAATTTTTCATTTTGACAAAGGCATCACGGCGTATTTTTGCGATTAAAGGAGGCATGTCAATATTTTACATTTTGCGTGTATTCTCTATAGGACATGACTTTTTCTCAAAACCGGATTCTACATTCCCGTCTTTCGCGAGCAAAATCATCATGATCATCATCATCATGATCATCATTGTTTATATGTCTATATCATTTTTCCCATTCTCAAATCTATCATAAGAAGTGAAGACAGACCACCTAATTCGTCCCCATGACGAATTAAATTTCTAGTTTTATTTATTTTTATTTTTTTATTTTTTATTTTATTTATTTATTTATTTATTTATTTATTTATTTATTTATTTTTTATTATTTTATTTATTTATTTATTTATTTATTTATTTATTTATTTATTTTTTTTTTTGGGGGGGGGGGTTGATTGAACGAGCCTTAAAAATGGGGTACTCAGGGTCATCTTTACACAGAGTGGCTTGGTTTCAATTTGTCACTCACAACAAGGCGCATTTGTGTTCTGTGCTTCTTTTTTTGGTCGTTTAATGGTACATTGCCTGCCCGCCCTTTCCTCCCTCCCACCCCCCTTTAACACGGTCATGAAAAAGAGACATTACCACTTTATTAACAAGGTTTAGCGTGTTTATTGAAATTTTGAAGGGATCAAACATCACATATTAGGCAACTTTGGCGCAAGCCAATTTGTGCACCCTCGCAAACAATGCCTCCTGTTCATTTAAGCGTGAACAAATACCACACAAAAATGATAGTAAAGGATTTGGGATAAAATACTCTTTCATAAGATGTATAATAATATACTGTTCATAGATGATTTTGAACTGATTAATTAGCAATTTTCTAGGTGTAAACTTTTTTTTGACTCACACGGTGTGTGTCCCTTTCCCTCTCGTATCCTTTGTTTCTTCCCTCCGTTCCTCTCTCTCTCTCTTTCAATCTACTTTTGTCCCTCTCATCTCCTTTTCTCATTTTCCTCCATTCATTTCACTCTTTTTTGTTCTTCTACTCTCTGTCTCCCTCTCTTTCTCTCTCCGTGTCGAGTAAGCAATGACGGGTTTAAACCGATTGATCAAAATATAAACGTTTAAAAGATGATACGTTCACCTCCGGTTATACTTCTGAATAATACGACATACGATTAAGTGCTATCTTTTCAATAAGTAAGAATCATGTATAAAGATGTTATAATTTTATTGTTTTGGTTAGTTGGGGGATGCATCACCCAGTTTTAACATACTGTCATATTGAAAGCGGTCAATGGCCTGCTTTCATCATGGCCAATGTGTCAAAATTCAATAAACAGGTTTTCCCGTACATTTTAACACTTTTTTTCAATCAAAGTCATACTTTTTTTAATCATAATTAATGATTAATTGTTCGTCTAGAAACTCCCTTATCTTGCACATCTCATGGTCAATTTCGTCTTTGGTCATTTATTTTCGAACTTTGTCAAGTATATTTTATCAATTTGCATTCCGTGAAAGTCAAATATAGTTCCAGATCCTCGACTGCCGACATACCAATTGCCTTCATCATTTGCAATCGATTTCGTTAAAGCGTCATTCATTATAAGGTCACGTCATTGCGACAAATTTAAATTAGGCTCTCTTAAAATTGATAGCACAAAAGGGAATTTGGTTATCACATTCTGCAGCGGACCGTCAGGTGAGACGAATTCGAATGAAACCGGACGAAAATGAATGGGCACTTCTTGAAATTGATCAACCATCGACTCACTTGAATGCCAAATGACTAAATTAACTTTCACATTTGCACGATTCCTACAACGAATCTAAAGTGCACAAAGATAAATTTGAAAGGAAAAAGTGTCGAAATTGACGTAAAATCCTATGTTTAGATAATTGTGTTTAATACATACTTACACTATTCTAATTAACAAATCTTTACAAATGTAAAATATCCATCTTTATAAAAAAAAATTAAAAAAGGTAAATCGTATACTAAATAAGGACGCTGGCAAAGAGCAAGAAACTGTGAAAATAATCACATTTAGGTTGGTAGATTCTCAAACTACATGTTAAGCAAAACATGTGTTATATACACTTCCTAAGTAAAATTGTGCTTTCAACCTTGCCCTGTGGCCTTCGTGAAGTATAATGTCACTGGGGATATTGGGGGTACGTCAGATAAGTTGCATTCAGCTCGTGAATATGCACGAGTCAATGACGAGTGCACGATATATGCTAGCTAAATTCAATATTTCTAATATACTACGAAAGGAAGCCATTATTATTATTGAACATTAAAAATTGAACTACGTAAAATCTAAATGACTGAAAGGGTCACTTTTTAATAATGTTTGCATTCTTTAAAATATTGTATAAAGTAAACATTTAAAGTACAGCTGCTCAAAAATTATATCTATACAAAAGAAATATAAACAAATATGAAAGATGTCTTCTACAATACGTACCATGTAAGATGTGAGAATTCAGCTTAATGTACAAAGCCTCAAATTTTCAGCGTAGTTTCAGCAAAGATCAATTTCACACAAACATTGTTTCACTTTAAATCCCCTTGTTGTCATTTATCTTCGTCAACTAAACTAATTAACGAATTGATTACTTCCTAAATGACAGTCAAAAGATCGAAAGGCATAACATTAATATATCATCAGATAAAAAAGATGTATTGGTAATTGAAGATATATTTCACTACAACTCAGGTAACTAGTTAAGGCTACTTATTTTAAATGTAATAGTGATACAGAATTAACAAACGATTTTAATCCATATCAAAGTTAAATCAAGCATTCATCCATTTTTTAAATTACAATTTACAAGTTTAATAAACAAATAGGGAAAATTATCTCATTTTTTAAATTTCTAATGCCTATATGCATTTTCATCTACCACTTGCCTAGTTACATATTTTTCGTTCTATAATATTACGCGATGTTTCCATAATTAATATTAAACCTGTTCTAACTGGATTGATGATCATTTGTGGCTGACATTTAAGTTGAGAAGGTCGTAGCTGTTTTTTTGCTATTTATGTTGTTTGTTGTTGTTGATATTGTTGTTCTTTTAATAGATCTTTCTATGCAGTCATCAAGAGAAGTCACGTGATGTCCAGACCCCTAATCAAGGTACGAAAAGGGTTTCTTTTTTTAGGGTTCACTTATTTTACCCTCATCCCACTGCACTAGTCGATATAATAGAGTTTGCTATATTATATTACATTATGTAAGCCGCACTCCCTATTCTAAAGGGGACGTTACACGAAGATGAGTTATTCAAATGGGTGAAATGGGCCGTATTCATAAAACTAGAAAAAGCAAAGCAATTGCTGGCAAATAGCTGGAATGACGTTCTTCTTTCTAGAATAATCAGTAATTTCTTGCTTGAATAATTGTTTCATCATCAAGCACTGGCTTGACGTGGCTTGAATTTTAATAATCATGTCATGATAACATGATTGTTTTCCATGACTTTACGCATAATATCTATCAAAATACATCAGCCGTTATTTTTGCATATTAAATTTTCTCACCCTCTTTCTCTGAATTACCAATTGCAGAAATTCTAAAAGAAATGATGTAAAATTATAAACACTGTATCATGGTTTAGAATCCAAACTACTCTCTTCAGAAAATTTGAAAGTTTGCAGGAATATACTACCTTTTTTCTTAATGACCGTGTGCCTCGGAAAAGGCATGCACTGTATTTATGAAGAATATGTCTATTGCTTGTTATTCCAAATGTAAGCATGGGCATGTCGGGTGACTGCTAGTTTTATGAATACGACCCACTTTCTTAACAAGTTTAAGCCACCACCCCGCCAGGTTTGGTCAGTACAGAAGCTTCTTGTTGGTTGTACGGGGCAGCAGGAACCTGGTTGTACTGGGCACCAGGAGCTTGGTTGTAGGGAGCTGGAGCAACAGGCTGGCCAGCAGGGGGATAGGTCTGCTGGGCGTTGTATGCGGGAGGAGGCTGGACGATTCCAGCCGGCTGGGTGTACTGACCTGTGTAGAAACAATGGAAATTTAACGTAGTATACTTTTCCTTTTACTCCAATAAATCGCGATAAATAGCCCGATCGTAAAAAGCAAAGTTGCATTGAAATTCAAAGAGAGTGAACCGAAGCTGGATCACGTCATCAATAGTGGTGCGTATTCATTTTAGAATAATAACAATCACTGTGAAGTATTGCAAATCTTATCTTATACATGTATGAGGAAAAGTTCAAGGTATTTTGTCTGATACGCTACCGACCATATTTCAAAGACTGAAGTATACGTAAAGAATGAATCAAGTTGAAATCCCTTCTAGCTGGGATCTAACCAGTTCCCAAGGTGAATTGATAGTTGCTATTTTGTTACATTACACAATGTTGAGAGATATTTGGGACACATAATTAAACTTGCCCACATTTCACCCAAATTTAGCATTTGAATTAAAAGCAGTTTACCAAAATTAGGCATAATTTTACCCCCAACTTAATACAGATTCAGTGTGAGTGATTCTTAAAACTACCGATGACCAGAATTTCTTTTCAGGACAGTTTCAGCGGATCACACACTTATAACTAAGTGTGTATGATATATTGTATTTATCGTTTCAGCTGGTGGACCATTTCAAACATCATACGGTTTTAAGTCTATTTAATTTAGCTCTGTGATATTCCTAGTATCAAAGTATATACTTGCTATCGCTTGATTCCTTTATGAATTAATAAATGAAAATATCATGTTTGTTATCAAGAAACTGTAAATTGAAGTTAAAACAAAAACACAAAGAATCGTGAATTACATACCTGTTGTAACAACCATCGGAGTGTTCTGTTGGGTGTACTACAAATGAAATTAAAACATTTGAAATAAATGTAAGATGAAAACCAAATAATATAATAATGGTAATAATAGACCCTAGCTACTTCTGTATAGTTTACAATACATTTCATGAATTAAAACGCAGTTGGACAGCATTATTCTGGCTTCACATCCTACAACTGTAGGGTATATCGTGGGATCGTGGCACGAAATAATTTCTGCCAGGTACCCAATGCTTCAGATTGATTGAGAGTAGCAAATTTATATTTATGTTTTGCCACGTGCCATTGGTGCCATGCAGGGGCGATCATATCAATTTGCAAATGATGTCTTTCTGCAGTATCAAATGTCTGTTGTACCATGAGGGGGCTCAAACCTACGACCTTCCTGTGTTCGTAGCTCCAGTTAAGTCATACTACTTGATTGCTATTCTCAAGCACATTATACTCGAAACAGCAACAACAACAAATATTTGGATATCTTTGGGTATTCTCCTATCTACTTTCCTACCCTCTTAAATCAGATCTTGATAAAATATCTGTTAAAAGGAGCGTCTCTGCAAAGTTTTGGACGCGACAGGTTTTAAGGGGGTATTGATGTTAACAAAAGTTTGCAAATTAAACTGAAATATACTGACATGTTTCTAACGAGCAGAAAACAAAACAAAACATTTTTTTTTTTTTTTTTTTTTTTTTTTTTGGGGGGGGGGGCAATTAGCATACAGACTTCTTAAAATTCAACATTTCCTCATACAAAAAAGAAAGAGTAGGGGCGGGTACTTGCACCCCCATGCCAACTTGACTTTCGCTCACAATTCGTTATAAGGAGCTTCTCTTATTAAAACCAAAGGAGTGAACAATTCGCCTTAAGTGGAAATATAGTCGAATACGCTCCAAGTATACGTAGCTGAATTAATCTTTTAAAAATGGATTTTTACCATAATGAGTGTAGATTTTCCACGATAGCAAATGAAAAATAATATGACGAGTCCACAAAAGAGAGTGCCTGTCCACTCCTGTACATTTAGAGGGGGTACAACAAATAACTCACCACAGTGGTGGTGGTTTGTGAAGACGAGTAGCCACAGGCCATGCCACCACAGCAGTAGGCTGAAGCCACAATGGCTACAATCATCTCGATCAGTCCAAGGATTGCCAACAGAGAGTCCGATGCGATTCTTCCGCCCTGTTAATCGAATTCGGATAGTTGTATCATATATAATTTTTTTCATTCCTTATACTTATTAATTTATTCTTTCATTTATTCATTACATATATTAATATATAAATTAATATTTATTTAGACATTTATTCATTACAAATATTCATATATAAATTAATATTTATTTAGACATTTATTCATTACAAATATTCATATATAAATTAATATTTATTTAGACATTTATTCATTAATGTATTTAAACATTTATTCAGAATGAAAACAAGATCATCAAAGCTTTTTTGCGTCAAAATTAAAAACAGTTTTATTACATGAAAATTGTTGAATCCACATTACAATAAAAAAATCAATATCCTATTGAAATCATCATACCAACCTAATTTAGATCATAATACTGAAAAGAAGAGAGAAAGATGATGAGAGAAGTGATCAAAACCCTGGTCAACGAAAAACCAACGTTTTATGTAAAATCATTTATCGAGACAAAATTTGTAATGAGAACACTGATTCAAAATATTGATTATAATTATTGATTATTCAGCTGAAAATCGATCAATTAATTGTAGGTAGAATCAATTCTATACAATATTTATTATTTAATAAACCAGCCAATATTTATCGGGTAAAGCTTTTACCCCAGAAAATCCGAAATCAACTCTCTGCATGTGATTTCTGATCAGATGGAAAATTAAAGCAAAGTTTGGAAAGCTTAAAAGACTGGATCTGTGTTTAGCTATCGTAGGGACATCCCAACTGGGAAAATATAATTGATCAAAATACCAGGGACATAAAACATTTCATCTAAAGAATCATAGAGATTGATCGATGATGTTCTAGGAGGATAGCAACTTTATCTAACAAGAATAAACCATATTGGAAAATCATTTCATGGAAGAGGGTAGGGGAAATGCATTCCAACTTTATGAAAATCACGCAGTGTATGTACATACCCTTAGTCCTCGATCGTAGCCATAGTTATAGTCAGAGCCATAGTAATAGTCATAGCCATAGCCATAGTAATATGAACTACTGATGATTCCTGCCCCAATGGCACCAGCAATCATTTGAATAAAGGCAACAATGGCTGTGATGATACACATCGTAAGATAGCCGATGATCTAAGAAGACAAAGTTTTTTTTTTAATAACTTTTTGAAAAGACAACAACAGCTGCAAAACAAAAGAAAAAGTTTATATTAGCCGATGTAATATTTCATGGTTGTAACACATGTATTTGCTTATTGTTGAGTGACACTGTCGTTTCCTGAGCTCAAATCGAGTTAACAAGTCTTTAACTGGCATTGGTACAAATTGAGGGTGTGGGTTGGCTGGGATGGAGGTGTGTGTGTTTGTGTGCGGTGGGTGGGTATTAGCTGTAAACATATGAACCCTCGTATACACTAGAAACGCGTGCATCTAAAGGGAGTATGGGTAATGAATATTTTTCTAAATGAGACTAGAGGAATACAAAAACATACGTACCACACAACTGTTCTTCTGCTTCGAACATATTCCTAAGATTCCGGTAGGAATGTAGAACTAGGGTAGGAGAATAAGCAACATTCATTAAAATCGAAATGACAAATGTAAACTGAATATTGATGTACATTGGACCTTTGTTTTGATTACTCTATTGTGTGTCACATAGCGATCGTGCGTGGGGTATGATTACGTATAAAGTCGTAATGTAATGCTCGCACATTTCATAAGGTGCTGGGCTTGATTTTTCTCAAGTCATTGCGACAATGTTAACCATGCATAAAAACAATTGCATCCTTCACAGAAGAAATGACATACGGAGACTTACCAGAACACTGGCCCAGATTCCAATGGCGGCATAGCCTACTCCGGTGTGGAGGACCAACTCGGCAATGGCGACGACGATGCTCCCAATGCCGAGGGCGAGCTGCAGCCAACCAGTCGCTCTCCCGGCAGCTCCGTTAAAGTTCTGCGACACACCGCTCGACGAGTTAGGGTTCTGCACCGTGTTGGCATAGTTGACTGGAGCGGGCTGGTGGACGTATACAGCCTGACCCGGAACTCCGGGCTGGGTGGGATAAGACGGGGCCTGCATATCAGGGGTAACTTGCTGTGTAGGGTAAGAAGGTTTCGTATTAAAGACCGAACATGAGTTTTGAAGGCCAAATAATTGGGTTAAAACTACACTTATGGTTGCAATTGAGGACTGTAGGACAATTTTCCCACTGGACTACCAGCTCTTCACAACATTGACAAGTGAGAATGGCGGCGAGAATTCCAGAACGTATAGGTTTTTGTTGGGTACTCATATTTATATATATATTAAAAAAAAAAGTAATCGATTGATTGATTGAACTAGTTAAAAAATACACCAACTACTGATCAACTACCCCTAGGACAACCAATATCTTTAACAATAACTATCCGTGCAAATATTCCCAAACAACCACCCCTATAAACGAAAGGCCTACCTCTAGGATAATTGATGTGATAGCCATTTATTTATCTCTGGACCACTACCCTCTAGTTTTCTTTTGTCCAAGGAGAAAATGGGGTATATCCTTGTGGGGAAGTAGGCCGAGGTATCAACTAAAAACTTTTTAGGGTGATCTAGTGGCAATCAACAACTTAAAAACGCTTTCGTTTGCAATATTGTATTAATTAATTTAATGAAAATGAGTTAGTTTTCTTTCAAGTCCAATAGTTATTTAAGTAATAGAGGTAATACAATGTTTAAGGACATATCTATTGCTGCTCATTTAATAGGATCTATTACTCAATCTAAATTTATTTTCCTTTTACTTCTTTTTCTTTCTTTTTCTTCGTCTATTCTTCTCTTTCGTTTACTTTTGTTTAGGTGTGTACCGTTCTACATGTCGTATTCGACACTAGCTTTTATGCTTCATTAATTCATCCCTGCTTGTTGTATACTGTTAATATTTTCTCTTATTTACGTATGTCATTATATAAGTGTACACATGTTTTACTTGAGTATTTTGTTGAAATGGAAAAAGAAATTCAATCAAATTATTGTGTTATTCCCTCTATCTCTGAACTGATCAATTGTAATAAATAATAAGTAAGAATATAAATCTGCAACATATAGAAAAGAATATCAAATCATCACTTGCAAACAATGCACCGCTCCTATGCAGAAATTTCAAATAAGGATGAAATCATCTGTAATTATAGCATATGGCGTCATAGTGCGTTTCCATCGTAGTATGACGTATGCAGATCATAACGAGTACAAAAGTGCACTCGAGTGTACTACAAAGAAAAGAGTACAATCACATGCATTCTTTGTAGAATTCAATATGATATGCATGAACAGTAGAGAGAGAGAGAGAGAGAGAGGGGCGAAGGTGGCAATAGTTGACTGGCAATAAAGAAAACTGTTTGGTCATTAAAATCTTCATATAACCCGGAGTCCTATGTCTTTGAACACAGCTTTGTATGCCTCAGAGGCATAGCTTGTGTTTACCGTGAAAGATGAACCAAACACTACTGCTGCAACAGCAATAAATGGACCACAATTGATTACTTAACTGATTTGTTTATATTTTCAGTTGAAAAAAACAAAAAACGATATTTCAGTAGGCTATTAAAAAAAACACACATCGCCTATCGACTAAATAACATTTTGGTCAAATAGAATAACATTGAAAAGTGGTCATTTGTATGTTCACACAATTTCTTCCTCTATGATTCACACAATTTATAAAAAAAACATCCGTCACTGCAGTAAAATAAAAGCATGACAGCCATTTCTGATTGTGTGCCAATGAGACGGCCTTGGATACTTTACCAACCATTGCGACTGGGTCATGTACAATGGATTATTTATAATATTTGTCTGTTGTTTGTACCACTGTGTGTGAAGTACAGAAAGCGGAACTGTGTGACACGAATATATGGCGTACGGTTTAACAACTCGTAAAGACGACAGGAAAGATGACGCATATGTACCTGCATGCGATATGTAACTACAGGTAGGCTATAGGTTTATGAGGCAGTGAAGGGCCATGTCACCGCCATACATTAAGAAAAAATAGATATATAAACATGTTTTTGCCACGTTTTTTTCATCTGTTGCTCATAATTGTTCTTCCAAAAGTATATATTTCTCTTGTTCGTATTTCATTTTGATTATATTACTCATGTTTTTCTTTCATTGATTTCCTTTCATATCATTTCGTTTTAATATATTGTTATTCTTAAACGTCTATACATGGCCTTCAATGCTGAAAAGCGGCCACTATCTCGGAGAAGAATAGTAAGACAAAACGTAACCCAAAGAAGACTTTCTAGTTTGATCGGATGAAAACATGGCAGTGTTTTTTAGGATTTCAAACGACTTGATCTGGTGAATATATAATAGTGAAATAATGTACATTTCTAAAGAGCTCTGTTTGACATCAAATGTCTTTTAAGGCGCTTACATAACTAGTTATACATTCATAAATTATAACTAATACATTACAGGCTAAACATTACCAGTAGAAGGTTTGGTAATTGAATTGTTCACACATGTACCTAATTATACATAATTAGTAGGTCTGAGTTAACAGAAGCTACTTTGGAGTGAGCATGGTTGAGGATGAATGCTCTTCGGTGCAGAATATTGTGTAAAAATGTAAGGAAAATTTCAAATACCAAGATGTCAACAAATCCCCATAATTCTATTTATATGTAACCACTGGGAGGTGACTACCATTTATTCACCGAAATCGATATATAATAACTTCATCAGTGTTCAACAACATAAAACATACAGATATAAACAACAACGATGAGTTAAAAGGTAAACGGAGCTAGCAGAAGTTCATTCGTTTAAAGTACGGAAAATGGGAAATGGTTACTGGTGGTAAGTAGAAATCTCTCGTACAAAGGTAAACATAACCCTACATAATGAAAGAATGACTGAAACTGTGCTGATATGATTCAGTACTGAACATTTTAAATGAAATGCATGACAATGGATTATCATTCAGTCTAGCATTAGCATTTCTTACAGTCATCAAGGAGTGAGTAATATTTTCGGCGAAATTGAATGCTTATATTGTCCAAAACTCTTCATAATGATCTGAAATACATGAGCATACCTATTTCATTCAGTAATGACAGAGGTTTCAAGATTTGCAAGTCTACGCTGCATCATGATTTTGTGAACTTACCCATCATAACAAATTACAAATGATTCACGACGACATTTAGTAATTACATATACAATAAGATTTATAAACCGGTTGGAAGCACATGCGGTTATTATGACACCTTTTTCGATATTGCGTACTTTTTGAGAATTCTCCTTCATCAGAGTCATATAAAAATGAAGAAAACCACACCTAATATACTATTCGCATCCTCTCCATTAACATAACTGTGTACCTAATATTTCCAATGAGCCTACATATATGTACCCTTCAACATAAAGGCGACTTAGAGTAGAATAATAAATTATAATGATCTCATGATTAGAATCATATCAGCAGTAAGATAATACTACGCAGAATTCATTCATTCTATTCCAGTAAAAACAAAATCAAAATAATTACGGATAAAAGCACAGATGAAACTTACTTTGGGTGCGTGTTTAAAATGTCTGCCTCAAACCAAGTCCTTTTTATGACGCAGTATAATCGCACACACTACAGCAGATATTATAACAATACTGCGAGCGGTATTTACAATAGAAAAATGAATTCCTGTTGTGGATGGTTTGAGTGCTTTGATACTGACGTATTCAAGCAAATATTTGATGAAAAGGAATGCCTAGGTAATGGGGAATAAACATTGGACGGATGATCAGTGTAGCGGGCGCTCGACTAGTGGTAAATTCACTTTTAATAACATATTGAAATATAATTACATACATTTCTTATTAATCTCCTTTGGTTTTGATTTGATTTCAAGATTTCGAGAGTAGGGTTATGTTATTGTTTCCCACTACATCACACTTCGTGAATGTATGAAGTGTTGCGATCTCTGATCTTCTCCAGGCTCCTCCCTCTCTTTGTCTCTCTTTCTTGTCTCCTTTCTTCTGTCTTCCTTGGTCACTCTCAATCTCTCTTCCTTTTTCCCACTCATTCCCCCATTCTCTATATCTAAATCCCATTCCTCTCTTTTTTTCTTGGCGTGTGTCGGTGTCCCTTTCCATCCCTTACCCTCTGCTTCTTCCCTCCATTCCTCTCTCTTTCTCTCTCTCTCACACACTCTTTCTCTCTCTCTCTCTTTCTCTCTCTTTCTCTCTTTGTCCCTCTCATCTCCTTTTCTCATTTTTCCTCCATTCATCTCGCTTTTATCTCTCTTTTCTCTTTCGCGCTCTCTCTCTCTCTTTCTCTCTCTCTCTCTCTCTCCGTTGGTCGAGTTAGCAATGACGGGTTAATACCGATTGATCAAATTATAAACGTTTATTGTAAAGATGATACGTTCACCTCCGGTTGTACCTCTGTGAATGATAACAAGCATCAGACATTCGATTAATTGTTATTTGTCAATAAGTAAGAATCATGTATACAAATGGTATAATTGTATTGTTTTGGTTAGTTGGAGAAGAGGGGGGGGGGGGGAGCATCATCCATTTTTATCAAACTGTCACATTGAAAGCAGCCAATGGCCTTTTTTCAGCATGTCCAATGTGTCAACGTTGTTTTGTATTGAACATAACAAATTGAACTAACTGAAATATAAAGGAATGAAAGGGTCACTTTTTTATAATGTTCGTATTTTTAAAATATTCTTTAAAATAAAGATTTAAAGTACTAAAGCTATGGATTTACAGCCGCTCAAATATTTCATCTACAAAAAACAAAGATAAACAAATATGAAAGATGTCTTCTACAATAGGTGCCTCGTAAGATGTGAGAATTCAGCTAAATGTAAAAAGCCTCACATTTTCAGCGTAGTTTCAGTCAAGATAAATTTCAACACAAATATCTACAATTCGTTTCACTTCAAATCTTGTTTTCTTTTCATCTATCGTCGTCAACTGAATTAATAAACGAATTGATTACTTCATAAATGACAGTCAAAATATCGAAAGGCACAACATAAATATATCATCAGGTTAAACAAATACGTTAGTAATTGAATATATTCCACTACAATTCAGGCAACTAGATAAAGGCTACTTATTTTCAAGGTTATAGTGATACGGAATTAACATCAACACACAATTTTAATCTATATCAAAGTTAAATAAAGCATTCTTCCATTTTTTAAATTACAATTTCAGATGTTCTTGTTTGATCTCCTCAATTATATTTTGATGGTTTATAAAACGATTGTGAAATTTAGCCCATTTTTTTCAAATGCAATATACTTTTTTATCTACAACTTGCCTGCTTACAAATGTTAAGTGCTGTAATATTCAGCGATGTTTCCTTTATTAAATCTGTTCTATCTGGATTTATGGTCATTTGTGACTGACATTGAAGTTGAGAAGGTCGTTGCTGTGTTTTGTTATTGATGTTGTTTGTTGTTGTTGATATTGTTGTTCTTTTAATAGATCTTTCTATGCACTCATCAAGGGAATTCACTTGATACCCAGCCCTCTAATCAATGTAGGAAAGTGTTCTTTATTTGTAACATGGGGTTGAATGATGGGGAGGGGAGAATTTCAGGCTCGCAAAGTAAATAAAGAACACTTATCTTACCTTCATCCCTCAGCACTAGTCAATATAATAACATTTGCGATGTTATTTCATTTAAGCCCTGCCCCCTCCACCCGTCAATTATACGAAGATGAAACCAAGTGGGTGAAATGGGCCGTATTCATAAAACTAGAAAAAGCCTAGCAATCGCTGGCAAACAGCTGGAATGACGTTCTTCTTGCTAGAATAATATTAAGTAACTTCTTGCTTGAATAATTGTTTCATCATCAAACATCTTGCGCTTCTATCAAAATAGATCAGACGTTATTTTCGCATATAAAATTTCATAACCTTCTATCTTAATCACCAACTGCAGAAATTAGATTACAAAAGATGTCAAATTATAAACACTGTACCACAGTTTAGAACTCAAATTACTCTCTTCATAATATCTGAAATGTTGCAGGGATAAACTACCTTTTCTCTTAATGTTCGTGTGTCTCGGAGTAAGCTTGTATTTTATTGATCAAGCATATAGCTATTGATTATTATTCCCAATTTAAGCGTTTGCATGTCGGGGTAATTGCTAGTTTTACCAATACAATCTATTTTCCTAACACATTTAAGCCACCACTCCTAGAGGTTTGGTCGGTGCAGCAGCTGCTTGTTGGTTGTACGGGGCACCCAGAGCTTGGTAATGCGGGGCAGCACGAGCCTGGTTGTACGGGGCACCAGGAGCCTGGTTGTACGGGGCAACAGGAGCTTGGTTGTAGGGAACAGGTGCAACAAGCTGGTCAGCAGGGGGATACGTCTGCTGAACGTTGTACTGGCCTGTGTAGATACAATGGACATCAAGGAATTTAATAGTAGTATACTTTCCCTTTAACACCCATAAATCGCGATAAATAAACAGGTAGTAAGAAGCAGAGTAACATGCAAATTCTAAGAAAGTTAACGGAAGTTTAATCAAGTTATCGATAATAATGCTGTTTCCAAAAAAATCAAGGCTTAGTCCACTTAAAAAAATATTTGCTTTTAATAGATAAATTTTAAAAAGTATGGAACTTTAAAAATGACAGATCTGGTTGTTAGTTAATGACGTTTAATTGCCTCACTACTTATCAATTGCTTTATTTATCTTTATCCAATTAATTTCCCTTGTTATCCCCCAAAACTCAATTTCCCCATGCCTTTTGCAAGGTTATGATTTGTATCATTATGTGTGCATGACATTTCAGAAAATATTTTATGAACTTTAAAGAATTTATACTATTTTTATAATAATGATTCATAATTAATGATGTTAATATAAATAGTTTATTCAAATTCACGTTTTGTCATGATTAAACTGAAAACAATAACTCTATATTAGTGCATCCACACAAACACATATTACTATCAATAAAACTTGGATACTGGTGTGAGGAAATACATTTTTTTAGGGGAGAAATTGGAAATTTATGTTATCAACACAAAGAAGACAATCAGTGGATAGTAAGGCAATGACGTCACATACCCATGAGTGAGTTGCCAATTTGTCCCGTGATTTCAAAGCCTTTAATTTGATTAAGATTTCATAACTTTCTTATTAGTTATCTGCTCTAACTTTTTTGATTGGTTTGTCTGATTTTTTCTGCTTCAATTGAAAGAAGTTAGTTTTCGAGTGGACTTGCCCTTAAAGCGCATTCATTTAAGAATGATAAACAAAACTGCGAGGTATTGAAAATATTTTCATTCGAACTTGCAACATCGTTGCTAACTTTTTGTACGTGTCCGATACGCTACCGACCATATTTTCAAAGATTGTAGTGTACCTAATTGTGGCAAGTTGAAATCCATTTAGCTTGAATCTGACCAGTAATCAAGTTGAAGTGATAATTGTCAGTGTTTATCATTCGTTTAAATTCCACAAGGCTTAGAAACATTTGAGACACAGTAATAAACTTGCCACATTTCATCAAAATTTAGCATTCGAATTTAGGAGGTTTACCAAATGTGGGCATAATTATACCCCAAACAAAAATTAAACACAATTGTAAGGTAGATAACTCTATTACCATATGAGTACGTTTTTCAATCTTTAAATTCAGTGTGAGCGGTTCCTAACTTTACCCAAGAGCAGAATTTTTTTCAGGACATTTCAGTGGGTCTCAGATGTTTATACCAGTGTGTATGAGATTATGTATTGATCATTTCAGCTAGTCGACAATTTCAAATATCACACGATCTTGGATCTGATATTCCTAGTATCACAGTTTATACTTCCTATCGTTTGAATACCTTTATGAATTAATTCATGAAAAGATCATGTTTTTTATCAAGAAAATATGAATTGAAATTCAAACAAAAACACAAACAATCGTTATTTTAATACATACCGGTTGTCACAACCATCGGAGTGTTCAGTTGGGTGTACTACAAAGAAAATTGAGACAATTGAAATGCATGTAGGATGAAAACCAAAAAGTAATAATAGATCTACTTTTGTATAGTTCATAATAAATTTGATCAACTAATACGCTGTTGGACAGCATTATTCTAGCTTCACCTGCCGCTGCTGTAGCGTTTATCGTGTGATCATGGCAAGGAATACATTTTATCAGGTACCTATTACTTCAGCTTGATTGAGAGTAGCAAATTTATATTTATCTCTTGCCACATGTCGCTCATATCAATTTGCAAATGATGTCCTTTGGCAGTATTAAATATCCGTTGTGCTATGCGGGGGCTCGAACCCGCGACCCGTGGGTTCGTAGTTCCAGTAAAGGTCATTCTACTTGATTACTATACTTAAGGATATTATACTGGAAACGGCGCAACGAAAATACTTGGACATTTTGTTTTTACCTATGTACCTAAATCTACTCTTTTATATAAGGTCTTAATCCAATATTTAGTAAAAGGGGCGTCTGTACACAGTTTTGGACGGGACGGGGTTTCTTTTAAGGGGATGGTGTTGACGAAAGTAGACAATTTAGCTGAAATGTACTAACCAGCAGAACAAATCCCGGCCAATTGAAGCCATATTTATAACGAGCAGAGAGAAATAACCAAAACAAGGTCATCACTCTTTGCAATTTGTATACAGTTGTCTTTAAATTCAAAATATTCTGATTTAAAAAAGATGAGCGTGGGTGGGTACACCCCGATGCCACCTCGAACTTCGCTCACGATTTATGTGTTCTTCCTAGGGAGTTTCTCTTAAACCAAAAGAGTGGAAGTTCACCTTCAGTGGAAATATAGTGGAATCTGCTCCAAAGATGTGACTCTCCACAAAAGAGAATGGCAGCCATTCATGTCTATTTAGGGGGGGGGGGTACAACAATTACTTACCACAGTGGTGGTGGTTTGTGAAGATGAGTTGCAACAGGCCATGCCACCACAGCAGTAGGCTGAAGCAACAATGGCTACAATCATCTCGATCAGGCCAAGGATTGCCAACAGAGAGTCAATTGCGACGCTTCCCCCCTGTTTATCGAATTCGAATAGTTCCGTTAACTATTCATCTATCTATTTATTAACTACTTCATTTATTCATTTATACACCATTTATCTATTTATTTACTTATATTTACATTGTTTAATTATCGATTCTTTCATTTATTCATGATAAAAAATAATCATTTATTTATCTATTCATTCATGTATTGAAACATTCGTTCAGAATAAAATTATGATCAGCAAAGCTGTTTTCCTTAATAGTCCTGATTAAAAACATACAAAGTTAATAATAAAAAAAAAACAGTTGACAGACAAGAAATTAACGAAAAATCTATAAATGCACATTACAATGGAACCAAATATTATATTATATTCGACACTGATAAAGTACCTGGAACATAAAACTGGGGGATAGATCACTAATTTTCTGACAAGATAGCAACTTTATCTATCAAGAAAAAACATATTGTAACAATCATTTATTAAATGGAAGGGCGTAAGGAAAATGCAATCCAACTTTATGAGCAACTTGCAGTGTGTATACATACCGCTATTCCGTGGTCAATGTTGCCAAAGTCATGAAGAAAGACACTGGTGATTCCTGTCCAAATGACACCAAGAAGCATTTGAACAAAGGCAACATTTGCCGTGATGATACACATCGTAAGATAGCCGACGATCTTAGAAAACAATGATTTTAAAAAATAACTGTTTGAAAAAACAACAACAGAAAAACAAACGAATAAACTATATCTTAGCGAATTACCAAATGTCATGGTTGTTACATATGTAATTGCTTTAATATTGTTGAGTGACACTATCATTTACTCAGCTAAATGGATTTAAATAGTCTATAATTGGCCTTGGAACAAAAACAGTACGTGGGTTGGCTCGCGCGCATGTGCATGTGTGTGTGCAGTATGTGTGTGTTAGCTGTAAACATATTATGAGCCCTCGAATTTGCCAAAGAAACGCGTTTATATAAAGGAGTTATGGGTAAAGAATACATATTTCTAAATGAAACTAAACAAGGAATACAACATTTTACATACCACGCAAGTGTTCTTCTGCATCGAACATATTCCTAAGATTCCGGTAGGAATGTAGAACTAGGGGAAGAGAATAAATAACAGCCATTACAATCAAAATTACAAAAATAGACTGCTTATTGTTCTTCATGTATGCAGGGCAACCCATGGTGTGTCTTTCTTATAGACTTGCTCTTAATTCACAAAGTATTATAAACAGTAAACAAATTTAGGTTGCCATTTTCATTTTCTTGTTGTTGTTCAATTTAATAGTAGATTGTGAATGTTAGTGTTTATTCCTCTCACATTTAGAGTTTTGCTGAAATTAAATAAACATTAAAACAAGTGCAAACCATTTGTTTGTACCGTGCACTGTGTATTTGTCTTTAGACACACACCAACATATTTGCAGTTTAATACTGATTTGGGTATTGGATAAATAGTCTAGTTGAAATCTTTCTTTTTTCTCTAACCAACTTTTTTAGAGGTATTACAAAGTTATCCAATCTGTCTGTGTAAAGTAAAACCTGATGCAGAATTCAGTTGAATCGCCTGATCGAGATCGAATGGTTAAAAAGTGATTGAGGCCTCGAAAGCTATGTGTTAAAATGTATCAAGTCTTTCTTATTTGAACATTTATTATAACAATTTTCAGGAAATATGAAAGACTACTAAATTTGCACAATGGAAACACAAAGAAGAAGTTTTGAAAGGGTGATCATGAGCAATGACTAATTTCAACAATCCCATATTTTGTTATTCATACATCTAAAAAAAAAATCATAGATTAAAAAAAAATGATAACACATGCAATTGAAATGTCAGGAAGGAGATATAAGAAAACAATAAGAGAGGGATAAAATTGTACAGAAGAAGCTTTTATTTGACAAGATGACGAAATGCATGTTCATACAATGTAAATTGGATGACGAGTCCTTAAAGCAACATAATTGCAAAGACGTTCGGAAAATCATCTGAAGGGAATTTTGATTACCCTAATGTTTCAGTGCGTAAACAAAAGTTTATCGCACTTTGGTAGCTCCTAATCAAAAAAGGTAACCTTGAATCATATGTCATGGTAAGATTATACTGATACCTTGTCTAATTATACCATATTCGTATTATGCTGCCACGGATGACTGAGCAGCAGGATTTTCAAAAAGTGTTGTCAAAATCGTCTCGTACCAACTTAGGGCTGAAGCAATGAATGTAGGTCAAAGCCATTAGTTGAAAATAAAAGGTTATCAACTCAAACTAAAAGAATTCTCAATACAATAAAAGTGTATTGTATTCTCTTTAATATGATGATTACAATCATGACTTCATTCTCATCCCTTATTTAGGGCAGCCATTCTCATTAACTGATACAAAATGGATGAAGTTTATTCGGGATGTTTTTTTGAATACAATAATGAACGTCTACTATCATTTTTTGTTATACTCATCATCCTATATGTTATTTCCTGAATAACCTTTGGGTTTTCATTCGATATTCAAGATGAACACCGTATGCCTCTCACGCGTATGAAATGGCGCAGCGGAGAAGTAAGCAGTATGAAGCTAGATATCATGAGACACGGAGTTAGTAGGCTGTTCAAAATAATTACAGGCTATCCTATGGATCGTAACAAGAATTTGTGAAAGCCTAAATACATTGTATCATTTTAAACAATGAAGCACTGAAGCAAGAGGCATTATTTGAATTTTCAGAGGATTTATGACTAAGGAGCACATGCATAAGGACTGATCCGCAATCGTTCCATCAACAAAAACTTGTTACAGTGCAATTTTGACAACACTTTTTAAAGACCCTGGTGCTCAGTCACCTGTGGCAGAAATATTATGAATAGGGTATCATTGGACAGGAAAAATAAATTACTCTTCACTATGAAATAGATTTCAAAGTCATATTTGTTATGAATTTGTAATTAGGAGCTATCAAAGTTGGGTACAGTTTTAGGATACGCACTGTTTATCCCATTGCATAATCCCCCACAATGCATGACATGCATTGTGGGGGATTATGCAATAAGTCGTTGAAATGTTCGCACATTTCACGGATGATGGGTGTGACTATTAACATTGCCTCAGGTTGATTTTCAATGTCATTGCGAAAGTGTTAATCATGTAAGGAACAATCGCATACTCCAAAGGAGAAGGACAGAGGCAACTTACCAGAACACTGGCCCAAATTCCCATGCCGGAAAAGCCTACTCCTAAGCCGAGAACCAACTCGGGAATGGCGACGACGATGCTCCCGATGCCAAGGGACAGCTGCAGCCAACCAGTCGCTCTCCCGGCAGCTCCGTTAAAGTTCTGCGACACGCCACTCGACGAGTTCGGGTTCTGCACCGGAATGACATAGCTAACTGGAGCGGGCTGGTGGCCGTAGAAAGTCTGGCCCGGGACTCCAGGCTGGGTGGGATAAGACGTGGCCTGCATGTCAGAGGTAACTTGCTGTGTACGATGAGAAAGTTTGGTAAAAACTGACAAGAGTTGTAAAGATAAAAATAGGGTAAAAATACATTTATGGATGCAATTTAGAGCACAGGCGTCAATTAGGGGGTGTGGGGAGGGGGGGGGGGGCGACAGGGGGACCCCAACAAATGTTAAGGGTGGAGGACACAATAGAGTTTTTCCCCCAAATTATGGAAGTCTTGTATTTCGTATGATAAGCTCTATGGGGCCCTACTTTTTGTAAAAGTGCCTTAGAGCACAAAATGTGTGCTCCATGTTAGGATTTTCATCAAGGCTAACAAGGGGCGTCGACTTTTTACAGTTCTGTGATTGGCGAAAATTTTTATAATTATAGCTATCAAAGTTGCAATTGATTCTAGACAGTTCACAATTGGTTTATTTCTTGATTTAAGTAAAGCCTTTGATACTTTAGATCATTTAATTGTGTTACGTAAATTAGAGGCTTATGGTATTCGTGGAATTCTTTAGCAATTATTTAAAGATTATTTATCAAATCGTCAACAATTTGTTTCTATTCAAAATCAACAATCTTCATATTTGCCCATTCGTTGTGGAGTGCCCCAGGGTTCAATACTTGGTCCTTTACTTTTTTAATTTATATTAATGATATTGTGAGTTCATCTGATTTGTTACATTTTATATTATTTGCAGACGATACCAGTGTGTTCATGTCTCATAATAATCTCCGTACGCTAGTTGATTCATTCAATTCTGAAATAAATAAATTAAGTGAATGGTTGATCAACAATAAACTAGTTTTGAATGTTGCTAAAACCCAATATATTGTATTCACTAAACGACGTATTAAAGATAATTTTGCAATCAATTTTTATGGTCATCAAATTAATCGTACTTCTTGTGTGAAATTTTTAGGTGTTCATATCGATGAATCTTTAACATGGCATGAACACGTTGGTGTCGTATGCAATCGTGTTGCCAAAGCTGTTGGCATTATTTACCGTTTGAGACATTTTCCAAGACATATTTTAGTTATGTTATATTATGCATTGATTTTCTCCCATGTCAATTATTGTAATATTGCTTGGTCAAACAATCATGATTATTTTATTACTAAACTATTTGTTTTGCAGAAAAAAGCCATAAGAATAATTTTTAATTCACCATATCATGCTCATACTTTGCCAATCTTTTCCCAGTTAAATCTCCTAAATGTTTATGACATTAATAGATTGAATATTGCAATATTTATGTTTATGTGTTCTAGAGGTTTATTACCATCTCCAATTACATCAAAATTTATTTTAAATAGTAACATACATAATTATAATACACGTAATGCTGTTGAATACCATCTGCCAAAAGTTAGAACTAATATTTCAAAGTTTACTATTTTTTATAAAGATCCTCATCTATGGAGCACGATTCCAAACCATCTAAAGAATCAACCTTCCTTAAATAGTTTTAAACGTTCCTTCCGATTGTTTTTATCAAATTTGTACTCAATAACCTAAATATCATAGTATATATATATATATGCTATTTTTTTTGTATAATGTTTTCCTTTTCCGTTTTACTGTTTCTACCTGCTTTCTTTTTCTTCTTAATGTTATGTTAATTACGTATTTGTTTAGGGGTCAACGTTTAACAAGGCTAAATGCTCTTTTTTGTTGACCCCTCATTCGACATAAATTTTCTTTCTTAACTAATTTCCTTGTTAATTTTATTGTATTCATATTATTTGTAATGATACCCTTCTACATGTATTTATATATTTCTCTCTTTTTTTTTAAATACTCTGTATGTATTGTATATGTTTTTTTATGAAGAATGAAATAAATACCATACCATACCATACCATACCATACCAATTATTCGCGCGGATCTCGGTGGTGAGCGAACTGAGAGTTGATATCATCGTAAAGACTGGGAAAATAAACCCCTTATATGGAAATCATGGTGGTTTAAAGATATAGAACGGTAGTGGTAAAATTGCGGTTCAAGGGTTTTGGGTGAAAAAGTCCATTCAATATTGTTTAAATATTTCCTTCAGAGGTTTAGATGGCAATACTTCAACCTAAATTCGCGAAAAACAGAATTATATGCCCAAATGTTCAATGGTAAAGTGAATTCGCCATATCTATTTAGGCCGGATCGATATGATAATTTACCAAATATATAAATTAGTAGGCGGCTTTCCGGCAAACCTTGAATCATCAGTCAGTCATTAGTCAAAACATATTCTTTCATATTATTATGAATAATAGCTTCTATTTCACTTTTTTGAGAGGGGGGCGTTTCCAAAATTGTTCTTTACCTTTAAGCCAGAAAAAAGAGTTGGATCACTTTCCGGGGACACAAACAGCACTGTGGTTGAGTAGTTGATTTTGTTTCCCTCATACCCGGTTGCTGATAAAGGTCATATCATAAGAGTCCTTGCTCCACTTTGACAAACTTTCAAGCGTTCATCACGTTTGTGCTACAGTGTGTACATCATGCGCATACATAGACTTTCAAAATTTACCCAAAGCAAGTATGTTTTCGAAGCTCCAAATTATATCCTGAGTAAGTATTTCTGGGAGGTTTTCCTACCCTAAACAAGTAGGTCCTTTATCATTTCTAGTGTTATACAATTTTGATACCTCAAACGAGTATTTGCAGTTTTATGCAGACGATTGTAGCATTTCTTCAGATTACCAATTTAACAGTGTAATCGGCGTGCTGGTTTAGCAATAAAATGGAGCTTCTTTTATACTCGTCATCTTGTGTGTATGATTTATGAATTATGTACACTTTTAACGTACGCGATGTGTGTTTTAAACACCTTTTTTGTCTACACTAATGTATTTGTTTTGATACCCTAAACAGGATACGCATGTTCCGCCTCCAACGGAAATACTCTTTTCCTCGGTGTTTGTGTAGGCGTATGATGTACAAGCTGGAATATAAGTTGCCCCCGAGAAACAAGTACTAGTACCTTTTATTCATAAATATTATCATTTCAGACCAAGAGGCACTTTAGATGGCACACATGTGTTTATTACGACCGTAACATACTAGCTGTGCATTGTGTAGATACCTAGATGATTGGAGTGTTATTGGAGTCATTGGAGTGTTATCAATCGCTTTCCTGTTTATTTACTTTTCCGATTGAATATCGGAGGTCCAAAATTATAATGGTAAATCTATTTCTAACTTTAAATATCTTTTTCTATAAAACTGATAATATGTTTCATAGAAATATTCCCTTTAAACAAGTTTTACCACAGGCCCTCATGACTATGATAATCGGGTTATAGAATTAAAGGCATTTCCACTTTTTAAAAGGTCTCTTTTTAATGACTATACCTACCTTGATATCAATATTGTGCATCCAGTATTTGACTATTAAACTTGAAGCTGATGTAAAAAAAAAATCCAAAACGTCAAAAAACGTTTGAAAACACTGTCCATTTCACGTATACTAAGCCCTTTATTTGACAGTAACTAATATAATGGATACTAGTTCGTAGATGTGTTGTATTGTAACTTAACCTATATCTTATCAACGTACTCTTGAACGCTTAATAACTGCTTATAATTACGCCACTGACCCTAAATTTCGGTACTTAAGATATTAGTATCATAAGTACCGAAATTTTAAAAATCTTGAAAATCTATCAAAAGTTAATAATTTTGATTTTGAAATGTTTTTTATTTTGGGAGTGAAATAGATGTAAAAATGTCGTAGCGACTGTTCTTACAAGATACGAAGGGAATAATTACGTATCAATAAAACAAAATAAAACACTGAGTCCTTATATCAACTGATTTTACGCAAGACTGGTTTGACAAATGGAAGAAAATCTTTGCTTTCTAAGGTCTGAAACCCGTGGAAACCCAAGAGCTTCCTTGGGTGGACCCCTCGATGGAGCTTTGCCCCTGGACCCTAGTCCTTATAACGCTCTGCTTGCTTCGCTCGCTAGGCTTTACTTGGACACTCAGATTTCAGCCTCTCCCACCCCTCCCCCCCCCCCTCGGAACATAAAAAGAGGTGACGCCCCTAAATTTGAGGACTGTGGGACAGTTGTCCCACTGGAATACCGCCCATTCTCTGGTAAATGACCCTTTTCAGGTACGAGAAGTTACTCCTTTTCACTTCAGATAAGTACCACCTTAACCTCCGATAAATGCCCCTTTTCATATCTGGTTATTGCCCCTTTTTAGGTGCGATAAGTGTCCTCTTTTCACCTCTGATAATTTCACTTTTAACAATGACATGTGCCCCATTTCCTTTCTAATAAGGGACATATCCCCTTTTCATAAATGCCCCCTTTCACCTTCAATAAATGCCCCTATCCAAATCTGATTGGGGCCCTTTTTCCGTCAACAAATGCCCATTTTCTATTCTCATGACTGATTTTTTTTTTCATCCCTGGAGAGTGCCTCTTTTTAAGGGAAGAATTACTCCATTTTCACCTCTGATGATTACTCTTTGTACTTTAACACATGAGTGTCCCTTTTTTCCTCTTATCGTTAAACGCGCCCTAAATGTCAAGCGACCAAGAGCAATTTCTCCGAAACCTCGCTCGCTACGCTCGGACGAATCTATATACTTATGTTACTTTTCAAAGGTATTAATTTTCAATCTTCCATTATGAGAATCTGCTTATAACCCCATCAGGATTAGATTTTTTACTCTTTATAAGATGTAATGTTTCGCACTGTGATCTCACAAATATTACAATTTTCCTTGCTCGCTTCGTTCGTTTGCAAATATTTTTTCAGACCATCACACCCAACTACAAAACATGATGCTTAAACAATATCTTGTATGGTGTATAAAGTGAAACAAATATTGAAATCATCCCTGATAATGTAATCACAGTGTAGGGGTATATACCAATGTGTAAAAGATTGTATATTTTCGCTTTGAGATTTCCCTTTGTAGGTGCCCTTTTTCTTTTTTGGTGACCCCCCCCCCCCCCCACTTTTGAAGCCCCTGCTGAGGTTTCAAGAATTGCAATTCCACCATAAACCATGAACCTTCTGAACTTACCGATCATAACAAATTACAAATAATTCACGACGACCTTTAGTAATTACTAATTAAATAGGATTTATAAAACTCATTGGAAGCACATACGGTTATTATGACTCCTTTTTTTATATTGCGTACGTTTTGAGAACTCTCCTTCATCAGATTCATATCAAAATTAGGAAGAACCACACCTGGTGCACAATTTGCATCATCACCATCAACATAACTGTGTGTTTAATATTTCAAATAAGCCTACATACATGTACCCATAAAAAAAAATGGCGAATTAAAATAGAATTAGAAATGATAATGATCTCATGATTTGAATCATTCAGCAGTAAGATAATAGTACACAGCATTCATTAATTCTATTCCAGTAAAAAAAAAACTCGAAATTAATTTTGCAGGACCTATCGTACTTACGGATAAAAAAGAGGTGAATCTTGCTTTGGGTGCCTGTTTAAAATGTCTGCCTCAAACCAAGTCCTTTTATGACGCTGTATAATCTCACACACTACAGCAGGTATTATATAAATACTGCGGGCGGAATTTACAATAGAGAACTGGATCCCGGTTGTGGACGATGTAAGTGGTTTTATACTGACTGACGTATATGCAAGCAACTTAATATACGGAATGCCTAGATAATGACGAATAATCGTTGGACAGATGATCAGTGTAGCGGGCGCTCGACCTGCGGTAAATTCATTTGTAATTGCATTTTGAAATATAATTCCAGATATATCTTATAAATTCCCTTTTGTTAGATTTCAAAATTCGAAAGTAGAGGTAACTTAAATGTTTCCCACTACATCCAACTTCGTGAATGTATGACGTATTGCAATCGCTGATCTTCTCCAGACCCCCTCCCTCTCTTTGTCTCTCTATCTTGTCTCCATTACTCTGTCTTTCTCGGTCTCCCTATCTCACTCTCTCTCTATCTTTGTCTCTTCTCATTCCCTCATCCTCTATATCTACATCCCATTCCTCTCTTCTTTTTTGTGTGAGTCTGTGTATGTGTCCCTCTCCCTCTTACCCTCTGTTTCTTCCCTCAATTCCCCTATATTTCTCGGTCTCTTCATATCAAATATTCCTGGTCTCTCACTCTTTCTCTTTCTCTATCTCTCGTTGTCCCTCTCATCTCCTTTTCTCATTTTTCCTCCATTCATCTCTCTCTTTTGTGTCTCTTTTTTGTATCTCTCTCTCTCTGTCTTTCTGTCTGTCTTTCTCTTTCTCTCTCTCTCTCTCTCTTTCTCTTTTTGTCTCTCTCCGTGGTCAAATTAGCAACAACGAGTTATTACCGATTGATCAAAATATAAACATTTATTGTGAAGATGATACCGTCGGCTGGACCTCTGTGTATAATAAAAGAAGCATTAGAAATTCTATTAGTGTTAATTTTAAAGTACGAAGCATGTATACAAATATTATAACTTGATTGTTTTGCTAAGTGATGGGGGATGCATCACGCTTCTTTAACATGCAGTCATATTAAAAGCAGCCATTCGCCTTCTTCCAGCATGTCCAACGTGTAAAAATTCAATATCTAGGATGACCCGTACATTTCAACACTTTTTTCATTCAAAGTTATACTTTGTTCAACAAATTTTCGTCCAGAAGCTTGTTATTCTCGCACATCTCATAATCAATTTTTCTATAATCTGTTAATACTTTGAAATATATTATAAAGTAAAGATTTATTGTACTGAATCTATGAATTTACAGCTGCTCAAAAGTTTCATCTACAAAAAACAAAAAAGATTATCAAATATAAAAGATGTGTTCTACAATACGTGCCTTGTAAGATGTGATAATTCAGCTAAATGTACAAAACCTCAAATTTACAGCGTAGTTTCAGCAAAGATCAATTTTATACAAACATCTACAATTCGTTTCACTTCACATCCCTTTTTAAATTGTATTTATCTTTGTAAACGAAATTAATTAACGAATTGATTTCTTCCTAGACAGTCAAAAGATCGAAAGGCACAACATTAATATATCATCAGGTAAAAATAATACATTGGCAAAGGAATATATTCAACTTCAATTCAGGCAACTAGATAAAGGCTACTTATTTTCAAGGTTAAAGTGATACAGAATCAACATCAACACACGATTTTAATCCAAAACAAAGTTAAATAAAGCATTCACTCATTTTTTAATTACAATTTCAAATGATCTTTGTTTGGTCTCCTAAATTCACATTTAGATGGTTCATATTAAAAGCGATTGGGAAAATAAGCCCATTCATTTCTTCAAATGCAATATGCATTTTCATCTACCACTTGCCTGTTTACATATTGTTCGTTCTGTAATATCCAGTGACGGCGTTTCCATAATATTAAACCTGTTTTAACTGGATTGATGACCATTTGTGACTGACATTAAAGTTGAGAAGTTCGTTGCTGCTTTTTGTTACTTACTTACGTTTGTTGTTGTTGATTGTGTTGTTCTTTCAATAGATCTTTCTATGCAGTCATCAAGAGAAATAACTTGATGTCCAGCCCCGTAATCAATGTAAGAAAAGGGTTCCTTATTTCTAACGCGGGAGGAATGATGGAGTGGGGGGGGGGGGAAGAAAGTCAGCCTCACGTAATAAACACTTATCTTACCTTCATCCCACAGCACTAGACGATATAATATAGTTTATGATGTTATTTCATTTAAGCTACGCCACTCCACCCGTCAATTATATATTTTAAGGGGATGTGATACGAAGATGATGTAACCAAGAGGGTAAAATGGGCCGTATTCATAAAACTAGAAAAAGCCTTGCAATTGTTGGCAAACAGCTGGAATGACGCTCTTCTTGCTGGAATAATAAGTAACTTCTTGCTTGAGTAATTGTTTCATCATCAAGTACTGATTTGACGTGGCTTGAATTTTAATGATCCTGTCAGGATATCATGACCAATTTTGCGCTTCTATCAAACTAGATCTGCCGTTAATTTTGCATATTTTTTTTCCCCACATGTTATATATTATTTACCAATTGAAGAAATTGAATAAAAGAGATGTCAAATTATGAACACGGTTTAGAACCCAAACTACTCTCTTTAGAATATTTAAAAGTTTGTGGGGATTACCTACTTTTTCTCTCAAAGGCATCGTTTAACAAATTAAATGTTAAATCTGAGATGCACGCCCTACGTGTTATCAGTGTATGTGATATGGTGTAATATTGAAGCCTTAAACAAAATTTGCGCCTCAAAATGATCAAGAAGCTCCCAAAAAAGGATAAATCTTTGAGTGACCGGTTTTCCCATACTCGTTTTCCCTAATAGACTGTAGTGTTATGACAACCGTTAGGAAAACGCAAAATTGGTTTCGATTTCCAATCATAAATATCTTGATAATGAGACAGGCGATCGGCTTGTAAAAGTCATGGGGTTCCTGACTGACCTTAGGTTTATAAGTATGATTACAGCATTAGATAAATCCAGGATTTTGTTTCAGAAGCTGAGACAAAGTTACAAGAACCCTTAAATGTCTGTGTGTCTCGGAATAGGCTTGCATTCTTTTTTCAAACATTTAGCTATTGTTTGTTATTCCAAATGTACGTATGTGCATGTAACTGCTAGTTTTACAAATACAACCCATTTTCTTAGCACATTTAAGCCACCACCTCGCCAGGTTTGGTCTGTGCAGAAGCTGCTTGTTGGTTGTACGGGGGAATAGGAGCCTGGTTGTACCGGGCACCAGGAGCTTGAGTGTAGGGAGCTGGAGCAACAGGCTGGTCAGCAGGGGAATACGCCTGCTGAACGTTGTATGTGGGAGGGACCTGAACGATTCCCGCCGGCTGATTGTACTGGCCTGTGTAGCGACAATGTAAATGTAAGGAATTAGAAGTATACCGACCACATTTTAAAGATTGTTGTTTACCCACGATTGTTGTTTACCTAAGATTGTAAAAAAATGAAATCCCTTTTAGCTGTGATCTTACCAGTAATCGGGTTGAATTGGTAGTTTTCAGTGTCACCGTGTTTTCTAATTCCACAATGCTTTGGGACATATGGGACTCAAAATTAAACTTGCCCAAATTTCACCAAAATTCAGCATTTTAATTAAAGAGGTTTACCAAATGTTTAGGTACAAATAAATTCCATACAGACATTTAATACAATTGATAGGTAGATGAATCAATTACCATGAATGTACATTTGTCTATCTTTAAATTCAATGTGAGTGTTTCTTAATTCTACCGAAAACCATAATTTCTTTTCGGGACATTTCAGTAAGATCGTACACGTTTATATTAATGTGTATGAGACTAAGTATTTATCATTTCAGCTGGTTGAACATTTCAAATATCACACGATCTATACTCTTGTTAACTTTGCTCTGATACTCCTAGTGTCACAGTCTGTACTTCCTTTCGTTGGAATTCCTTTATGAATTAATTAATGAAACTATCATGTTTGTTCTCAAGTAACTATAAATTGACAAGTAAACAAACACACTAACAATCTTTATCTACATACCTGCTGTCACAACCATTGGAGATGTCTGTTGGGTGTACTACAAAGGAAATTGAAACAATTGAAATACATGTAGGATGAAAAACAAATAATGAAATTGACCCTATCTAATTTTGTATAGTTGACAATACATTTGATCAACTAATACGCTGTTGGACAGCATTATTCTGGCTACACCTGCCGCTGAAGCGATTATCGTGTGATCATGGCAAGGAATACATTCTATCAGGTACATATTAATTAGTAAAAAATGTTTATTTGTGTCTTGCCACATGCCATTGGTACCATGTAGGGTCGCTCATATCAATTCGCAAATGATGTCTTTTGGTAGTATTAAATGTCTGGTGTGCCATGCAAGGGGCTCGAACCCGCGACCTTTGTGGGTTCGTAGCTCCAGTGAAGACATACTTCTTGACTGCTATACTCAATCATATTATACTGGAAATGGTACCCCCAAAAAGTACTTAGACATTTTCTTTTACCTATATCTACTCTTTAAAATAAGGTCTTATTTCACCGTCTAGTCAAATGGGGGTCTGCACACAGTTTTGGACGTGACGGGTATGAAGATTATGGTATTGACTGAAGAAAACAATTCCGCTGAAATATGCTAACTAGCAGAAGAAATCCCTGCCATCCAAAGACATATTTGTAACGAGCAGAGAGAAATAGCAATTAGAAATAGTAATTGGTATACAGACGTTTATCAAACTTCAAAATGTCAAGATTTTTTTTTTTAAATGAATAAATAATTATAGGCATTTATATAGCGCCTTCTATCTAGACAAGTTTATTCCGAGGCGCACAAGAAAAATTGAAAGATTAAAATAGTTTAAACGAGTGTCATAGTGCCAAGTACAGGTATTGTTAAAAAAAGATGAGATTTCAGCTTAGATTTAAAGGTCTCTAAGAAGTTATGATTCTTAGATTTAATGGTAAATTATTCCATAGAGAAGGTACTGCAGCTGAAAATCATAAGAAGATGATGGTGTGATGATCTTAGACTACGAGCTGGTGTATAAGACATAACAATATTTTGTAAATAGTTTGGTGCCACTCCATTTACAACCTTCCAATGTGAGGAAGTGGATTTTGAATTCGAAGCGCTTGCGGATTGG